GCATTACTTGCCCAGCATGCTGTTGTGGCCTTGATCTGCCATGCTTAAATAGCCGTGCGCGTCAGCCTTCTTTACTGCTGACATGTCAGCAACATGCCATGTGTCATCAATGTGTACAGGAAGCTGTCATGGAAAGTATTGTGTCTCGGTGCCATCATCCACCACATCCTCTCCTAGCATGCCCCACACGCAGTGTTGGGCATACACCTACTGCAACCGCAGAGGGATTTCCTCCTTCCTTCCCAAACGAACGACAAATGCAGCAGCCTGAGGAGGAAAATAGACTACCCTATGAACCACCTATAGAGTGTTGTACTGATAGGTTACCACCACCAGGGGGAGTGTTGCAGACCACATCCTGCAGCAGCTAGACACCCTTGCTTCGGATCAATCCTCGTCGTCGTCTATAGAGGGAATAAATACTGAGGAAACCCAAGAAACCTGCTCAATGCAGCTTTGCGATGACCCACCAGAGATTCAGCTAGCATGTGGCTCACATGCCTTGTGCCGTGAGGATTATGAAGGGATAGCCCATGCAAGTTTCTGTCTTCATGTAGTTCATACGTATGATGACAGTAAATACTGCACTCATGTACGGCACCCTGACATGTCATGTCCAATTTGTAGACAGGGACCGGAACGGCAATGCCTCTACAATTGCAGTCGGCATGCCACTGTGCTCCTAGCGTGTAGAAGCCACGTAGCCTGTGACATCTGTCTACGCCGTGCCATTTGATGCAGCAATTGCGACTGTGAGAATTGGATGTGGTGCTTCCACAGTCCACACCCGAACAGGTACTGTCCGGTCTGTAGAGGCGGCTACTTACCGTAGGAAACGACTGCTCCTCAATTTAAAATCTTATGCAACCCAAACACTGACTGGCCTTACATGCCATTCTAGAGTAGTTTGCTCCAGCGGTGACTAGTTAGAACCCTGTCAGATCTCCCATTTCCTTCCTCCCTCTTCCTGTGTACCATTAGTAACTGCATACGAATGAGCATCATTAAGAGAACATACAAAATATAGGCTGGAGATCTGAGGAAATCTGAGGAAAAATGAACAGGAATATATCTCCGCCTTTACTCTGCCTCTTTTCATAGTGTGCAAGTGGGCCGTTGTGGCACACAGGGATGTGGGCAGTTCGCGCTCAACCACAATCAATGTGGCGAGCCTTGTACATGAGAGGCACAGTAAATGGGGAGCTGCAAGAACAAATGAAAGGGGTACCCCAAAGAAAGTAAAAATGAACACAATTAAGAAAGCGATTTAAACACTTCTATTATACTCCATGTTGCTTGCTATAGAGGTGAAACTGTTTCATTGTTGGATTGTCTCAACTCAAGGGCCTTCGTTGTCTGCAGGAGGATTAAAGCTTCTTCCTTTTTGCATCTACTCATCTGGGTGAAATAGGGGCTGTTGTGGTGAAAATGAAACACACACACACACACACACACACACACACACACACACACACACACACACACACACACACACACACACAAAGCTTCTTCCATTTTGCATCTACTCATCTGGGTGGAATAGGGGCTGTTGTGGTGAAAATGAAACACACACACACACACACACACACACACACACACACACACACACACACACACACACGCACACGCACACACAAAAAAAAAGAGAAGATGCATGCGCACAAACATTACCTCCAAGAGGCTGAGGGGCCAACGCACTGGCCTCAGGGGTCATCGAGGGACTAACGGACTGAGGGGTCATTCTAATGGTCAACGGCCATTGCAGGGGTGGAGAGATCCTAGAGCGAGTTGATACAGCGAGGGGCCATGGCAGGGCCAAGAGGTCACAAGGCGTCTGGGACAGAACAGCAGTAGCAAAGGGGCCAAACGGCCAGAGGGGCATAGCAGTAAGTAGGAAACAAGGGGCCATGTGGCCGCGGGGTTGACGGGATTGAGGGGGTCAAGGGGGTTGACAGGCCGCATATGCAGTTCGCATACACATGGAAAGTTTTTAAAGTTGTATCATCTGCCGTCATCAGAGCACGGTGTGGATAATAGACGTTCCTGTTGTAAAATAAAGAAAACAAAAGAAAGGAGGAGGAGGATACCAACCTGGCACCAGATATTAAAGGAAAGAGAATGTTCCAGATAAGCCCTTTGTGTGAAGAACACCTCGTCATCTGCCTCCTCCTCCATGATTTGCCAAAATCGTCATCAGCACTTCAACTCTTGCTGGTCATGCCCAATCCCTGATGAAGGCAAGCAATCACCACTGACCAATCAGTTCTTGAAATCATAATCTCAGCCCTTGCTTGACAATGTTACTTTTTTTAGCCGTATGTATATGGTCATTGAGAACTGTCTGGTGAACCACTGACAGAAAGGGTGAAAAGGCAAAGAAACAAGGGGCTGTGACAGACTGTTTCGTCGGAGTTTCACCGAGTCATCAGGAGGCTGAACCCTATGCAGTCTGCAGAGTCCCCTAACCGATGATACTGTAAGCGATAATCCACCTTAACCCCAGTTGGGATAGAGCACCAACGACTTCCTCGCAACTGATACCCTGAGGTGGCCACCAACGACTGCCCTCGAGCATACCTGTGATGGAAATCAAAGCAGACTATCACTCACCCACACCAGAAGGAAGACTCTACAGACTGCAGGTTCATATGGGTCAACAAAGACAAAGGTTTGCAGTCAAACCTGGTAATTCCCAACTACGGCCTTCCTCCGAACATGAGGGATGGGCATACATAGTAGCCATACCTGACCCAAAAATTGCCCAGCACAGCTATAATGACCATGCATTATGTTGGGGATGAAAGACCACAGTGGTGCATTAGTTTCATTGACCAGTCTCAGAGGTTGACGAGTTCCAGGGCACACTCGCATTAGAACTTTCCCGACGTACGCGTAACCGACCACGGGCAAGTTCATTCCAAAAAGTCCTTGTGAGAGTATATGCCCCAGGTCCATCAGTCCCTCTGTATTATTACAATTCCCATGGGTATGGCTGAGACCAGACACCTGACCAAACCCAAACACAAAATACAGACCGGATTCAGGCCAAGGTCCAAATCTGTCTTAAGCCACCAGTACACGGCCCCAGCCTTGCAGAAATCTGTTTGTCGCCTACTCCGAAAGTTCCACTGCTCGGGCCTACCTACCGGACCACAATGGCTGGTGGCGCCAACCGAAAAGGAAAAGAAGTGTGCCGCCGTTGGTTCGGAAAAGCTTGGCGCAAAGTGCAGCGCCTCCAGGCCCAGGTGTACTGGTGGTTTAGGGGAGGGGTTACAATTTCTTGCCTTTTCTTTATAGAGGGTAGCCTTACCTTATTGTGTTCATGTGATTCCATAAGGATCCGAATCTCGAACACATGATCTGTTTGCCTCACCATTCAGCCACATGAACCAGGTAGGGGTGGCCCGTGATCCGCAGGTGTACAATTTCTCCTTTCTCCTTTTCTCGTGTCAAGCTCTGTCTGAGAAATCAGGTGAATTGTTATCATCGTCAGTTTGTTTGAGTGCTGCTCATGGAAAGAAGTTGAAGTTTCGTAAATTCCTGACATTTAGGGGCTCTTGCCGGAATGCCCAAACGCTATGCCTTACTAGTGCACATGGCTCTGCAAAAAATCGCCCTACTTTTTTTTCAGGAAATTGGCCTATTTTGGTATGGGAACGCTCCTTCCGCTCCTGCTACTGTACAGGGAAGGCTCCTACTGTTCGTGCAACTATGCTATCTCTGCTGAAGCTGCTGCTATCTCTCTTGCTATTGCTGCTGCTATTGCTGCTGCTATTGCTGCTGCTATTGCTGTTTCTATTGCTGCTGCCATTGCTGCTATTACAGTCATGATTGCTGCACTTGGGACGGTAATGGTGTGGCTGCAGCGATTTCAGCTAATTGCAGTTGTCACTACCGAGGCTAGCCCCGAACCTACTGCACCTTTTGCTACCTGCTCATTATGACGGCAAGGTAGGCAAGTTGGACGAAGCATTGTTGAGCGATTTTTTTTTTTCCTCTTTTTTCCAAAGGGAGCAAGAGAGAGGGGGGAGGACAAGTGTTGTCAGCTTCTCCTCCTACTAGTACTCTTCCGTCCCATGCTACTGCCTGTCCTCTTGTGGTGGACTCTGCTGCTGTGCGCCGCAAATGTAGCTGCCGTTTGCTGCTATTGCAGGCGGATTCAGGTATGCTAATGAACGCTGCTGGTTGCCGCTGATTTCTATCCATCCTCGTCAATGCTACGATTTATTGCACTGCTGCCCTTCCTATTGTTCCTGCTATTCCGGTTTTTTTTTTGTGCGTGTGTTGTATTTTCCTTTTTTGGGACCATTTCTCGAGCTGTGTGTGTCATCCTTAAATACGCAGGGGCCATGCTCATCTTCACTGTACCGTTCATTCCACTTTTTACGGATGCTGCTGCTGCCGCTTCAGCTTTCTGACTTCGTTGCTGCTGCTGCTGCTGCTGCTGCTGCTTCAGCATTCTGACTTCGTTGCAGCTGCTGCTGCTGCCATTGCTGAGCCTTTGCTGTTCCTGCTGCTGCTGCTATTGATGCTGCGGACTCCTGCTATTGCTGCTGTTGTTGCTATTGTTGAGGTTTGCTGCTGATACTGTTCTTGCTGCTAATGCTGATATGTTGACATTGTCGCTGTTTGCTGCTGTTAACATTCCTGCTGCTATTGCTGCTGCTTCAGCTTTCTTTGTCCTCACTGCCTTAGCTGTTGATGCTGCTGCTCCGGCAGCCAAGTCCTGACATGCTACCGCTTCGGCATCTTGCTGCTGCTGCTGCTGCTGCTTTCCCATGCTTGCTGATGCTCATGGCTGCTGCTGCCGTCGCTTCCGCCGGCAGAAGGTGTTCCCTGTTATCATTGTTGCTGCTTCTGCTAAGTTTGTCTTCATTTGCTTCTTTCATTCCCTCTGGGTCGCAACCATACTTCCGTCCCCTGCTTCATATCTGCCACGTGGCTTTGGCATACTAGAGAGCACAGTACGACCGTAGACCACTAAACAATGACCGTCTGCAGGTTATGGCAGAGCTACTGCCGTCCGTGCATCTACTCATCACAGCTGTATGCAGTAGTGATATATGAACATGACTGTGTCGTTATGGTAGAGAACAGCACAGCGGGACTGTCAGCCCACATGGTCTTGCAGGTGCAACAGTAGCATGCAGATGGCTGCATAGGCCATAACAATCTCAGACCCATAACTGCATGTATATGCATATTATGTATATATAATGCACTAGGGAAGTCAATGCTGTTCCTCCTTTGCTTCGCCATCTTTTTTTCGTTTTTTTTTTTTTTTTTTGCTTCGGCCATCTTTTTAACATCTTTATTATTCTGACAAATAGGACACTGGGCCCCGTTCCCAGCATGCGCTGCTCCCCAATGTAGATTGGAGCCTCTGTCCCTTTGAAGAAAGAAAGAGAAAAAGACAGCATACTGAGCATAGTGTAATAATTACTGATCACTAATTACTAATTAGTAATTACTAATTACTATGGTGGGGCCGGTGTATGACTCTGGCTGGCTCCCTGTGGCACCGGGCAGATTAAGGTGCACCCTTCGGGACTGCTGGGACTCCACCATAGTTTGCACGGGAAGTGGGACTGGCACATGGAGGTGGGCTTTTTTGCTTTTTTCCCTTTAAAAAGGGCTACGGCCTTGCGATATCATCATGCAACTGACCAGCCCTACAGTCTTCCCCCGAATACAACGTACGGTCATTATAGCTGAATTTAGACTGAAAGATACCCCAAATTCAGCTATAATGACCGTACGTTGTATTCGGGGGAAGACTGTAGGTATTCAGAATTGTCGTATGTTACTCAATTATTTCGACTGGAGTTCGAACTCGGGTGTGTATTTATTTCAACAGTTCAGGGGTGTACAAACTAAGTTAGGACAGGGCTTTTTATTCTTTTGTTTCTTGCTCAGGGATCATTTTGGCCAGTTAAATTTCACTTCTTTTTTTTTTTCTTTTTTTTTTGAGGCCTTCATTATTAGGAGGAATTTGGAAATGTCTTGACGCAAAAACAAAAACAAAAATTAGAGTACATATGCCGTTACGGGTCTGCGTAGGCAGAGAGGGAGAAGGGGACAGCAAACGAGGGCCTGTGACCGACTGTTTCACCGACTCATCAGGAGGCTATATATATATATATCGTCACAAAGATATCAGAGCGCAAAATCGGAAAAAAAACAAAAGGAAACAAGAAAGATATCAATTCATTTTTTATTTTCTTACTTACAACTACTCCCCCTGTTCAGAAGCTCTTGCGTACAAGGCCGCCCACGTGGATGTGGTTGAGCGGCGGCTGCCCCCACCCCCGTGTGTCATATCGACCCACTTGCACACAGCCAAAAGGCAAAGATTGCATAAATCTGCTCCCCGTAAACCGTACACAGAGAAGAAGAAGAGGACAACAAACGAGGGTTTGAGACAGACTGTTCCGTCGGAGTTTCACCGACTCATTCAGGAGGCTGAACCCTCTACAGTCTACAGAGTCCCCTAACCGATGATACTGAAAGTGATAATCCACCTTAACCACGGTTGTGGTTAAGCATCAATGACTGCCGACATGTATTTGACAATGTATCGTCCAACAGTTGTAGATCTCATGCTGCACAATACAACACCCTCTTATGCTATACAGGTTAGCGAAACAGGGTGTGGCACGGAGTTGTCGTATACAGCATACCATTCACCACTGTGTAGCACGGCACAGGAAAGTATTGGATGGCATAGAGTTGTAGAAAAAAGAAGCAATAATTTAAGCAGGGAATTACTGTAACATAATAAATAATAATAATAATAAACGTAAAAGCCAGCGCGGCTACGCCCGCACAAATGGAAAAAAAGAAACATATC